TATGTTGGCCAGGCTAGTCTCAAACTCCTCACCTCAAGCATCCGCCTGCTTCGGCCTCCCATAATGCTAGGATTACAGGAGTGAGCCACTGTACCGGGCTGAGTCCGGCTTCTTTCATTTGACATATCTCCTGTAGATTCTTCCACATTATTGCTGACTTTGTTCCTTTTTATTGTCCATTGTGCAGATGTACTGTATATTGTTTTTCCACCTGCCAACAGAAGGGGTGTTGGGTGTTTCCACTCTTTGGACTATAAACAATGCAAACGCATACATATAGGTTTTTGTGTGCACTACTGTGTTCCAAAGTGCCCTGTACCATTTTGCATTTCCACCAGCAATGTAGGAGAGTTTCAGTTGCTTCACATCTCCACTGGCACTTGGAATTCTCAGTTTTGTTTGTTAAACTTTAGCCATTCTGTTAGGTATGTGGTAGTATCTCATTATGGTTCTGATTAACATTTCTCTAATGACTAATGATATTAAGTATCTTTTCACACTTATTTGTTAACCACGTAACTTTTTGGTGAAATGTGTGGTTCAAGTCTTTTGGTTATTAAAAACTTTTTGGTAAGATATACATAACATAAAATTTAATATCTTAACTTTTTTCTTTTTGACAGAGTCTCCCTCTATCACCCAGCCTGGAGTGCAGTGGCATGATCTTGGCTCACTGCAGACTCTGCCTTCTGGGTTCAAACAATTCTTGTGCCTCAGCCTTCCGAGTAGCTGGGATTACAGGTGAACACTACCATGCCCAGCTAATTTTTGTATTTTTAGTAGAGACAGGATTTCTCCATGTTGGCCGGGCTGGTCTCGAACTCCTGACCTCAAGTGATCCATCTGCCTTGGCCTCCCAAAGTGCTGGGATTACAGGCATGTACCACAGTGCCTTAGCCATTTTTTATGTGTACAGTTCAGTAGTGTTAAGTACATTCCCATCGTTGTGAACCAATATCCAGAATGCTTTCATCTTGTACCAATGAAATTCTATTTCCAAACTTCCCATTTCTTCCTTCCCACAGCCCCTGGCAATCACCATTCCACTTTCTGTCTCTATGAATTTGACTACTCTAGGTACTTCATATAAGTAAAATTATATAATTTTTTTTCTTTTGTTTTTCAGTTATTTTACTTAGCATGTCTTCAAGATTCATCCGTGTTGTAGCATCCATCAGAATTTCCTTCCATTTTCAGGCTGAATAATATTCCGTTGCAGGTGTAGTCCACATTTTTGTTTATCCATTTGTATTAATCCATTCTCATACTGCTATAAAGAACTGTCAAGAGTGGGTAATTTATAAAGAAAAGAAGTTTAATTGACTCACAGTTCCACAGGGCTGGAGAGATCTCAGGAAACTCACGATCATGGTGGAAGGTGAAGTGGTAGCAATGACCTTCTTCACATGGCGTCAGGAGAGAGAAATGCAAGCAGGGAAAATGCCAGATGCATATAAAACCATCAGATCTTGTGAAAACGCACTATCACAAGAACAGCATGGGGAAACCACCCCATGATCCAATCACCACCTACTAAGTCCCGCCTTGACACACGGAAATTATAATTCGAGATGAGGTTTGGTTGGGGATACAGAGTCAAGACATTATTACCTTTCATTTGTTGAGGGACACTCGGGTTGCTTCCACCTTTTGGCTATTGTGATTAATGCTGCCATGAACATGGGTTTACAAATAACTGTTTAAGACAAACTTTCAATTCTTCTGGGTACATACCCAGAAGTGGAATTGCTGGATCATCTGGTAAGTCTATTTTTCATTTTTTGAGGAATGCCCTACTATTTTCCATCATATCTGCTACGCACCATTTTTCATTCCCAACAGCGGCATAAGGGGTCTCTCATTTCTCCACGTTCTCACCAACACTTGTTATTTTCTGTTTTTCATTTGTTTGTTTTGACAGCAGCCATCTTAATGTGTGTGAGGTGGTATCTCATTGCAGTTTTCGTTTACATGTCCCTAATGACTAGTGACGGTCAGCATCTTTTCATGCGCTTATTGGCCATTCGTATATTTTCCCTGGAAAAACGTCTATTCAAGTCGTTTGCCTACTTTTGTTTGTTTCTGGTGGCTGAGTGTGAAAGAAAATGAAGTAATTAAGGCTTAAGACTAAGACTTTCTTTTTTTTTTTTGGGGACAGAGTTTCGCTTTTTGTTACCCAGGCTGGAGCGCAATGGCGCGATCTCGGCTCACCGCAACATCCGCCTCCTGGGTTCAGGCAATTCTCCTGCCTCAGCCTCCTGAGTAGCTGGGATTACAGGCACGCGCCACCATGCCCAGCTAATTTTTTGTAGTTTTAGTAGAGATGGGGTTTCACCATGTTGACCAGGATGGTCTTGATCTCTTGACCTCGTGATCCACCCGCCTCGGCCTCCCAAAGTGCTGGGATTACAGGCTTGAGCCACCGCGCCCGGCCAAGACTAAGACTTTCTAAAGTGGAGTTAAGATTATGAGAGGATTGCACTGAACACCTGCTAAAGCTCAAACCACAGACTGTTCCAATAGACTTGGAGAGCAGCTGATGTCAGTATAGGATGGCCTCCAGCTCAGCACTCAGCCGAACGTGTGAAAAGGGCCTCTTTCTTCTCTGGGGCCCTGGAGCTCCCTCTTTCCTCTGCTACTATGCCCTGCAAATTCTCATCATTTGGCCTTTCTGAACTTCAGCCTTTTTTTTTCCTCAATTCAGTGAGAAAACCAAGCTCCAAGCTTTCCCTTTCGGAGCTGCAGCCCATGTCTTCTCTGTTTCCCTCTCTCAGGGATAGCTGTCCTAGGCTGCCTCTTGTTCAGGGTCTGAGAGCCCTGTTTCCTCTGTTTTGGGGGCCTTCTAGTTGTTTGGAGAAGGAGTGTAAGTTTCATCCTTATTTTTCCTCTTGGCCAGAGGCAGACATTTTCTAAGAATTCCGTAGTCTTTAGAAACATTTCTCATTGATATTCATCACGTTTTCAGTAATTTTCTATTAATAGCCGTGTTCAAATAAATAAATTTGTCTAACTTCATGTCCACTTGAATTTCTGTACAACAGATCTCTAGAATTGGAACTGTTTAGCCAAAGGGTACATACTTCCTAAATTTTGTATGTGTGAAAAACTGCGAGGGTCTGAGATTTTCACTGAATTGTAAGCTACGAGTTAGCTTGCCATAGTTCCGCACTTGGATGCTGACAGAAGTCAGGAGACTCCTGGATTAAATATAAAAGATCTTATTATAGTAAAAGCAATAGCCAGATTGTCACCATATTTACACGGGTTCTTGGATTCCTAATTCCCACAGGGTTACATAGAGGGCCAGATGACGCCTGTGTTTACAATGGGCAAGGGCCCATCACTTTTTGCTTTCTTTTGAGACAAAGTGTTGTTCTGTTACCCATGCTGGAGTAGAGTGGCACAATCATAGTTCACTGCAGCCTTGAACTCTGGGCTCAAGAGATCCTCCTGAGTAGCTGGGACTACCACACCTGGCTAGTTTAAATAAATATATATCTTTTTGTTTGGTAGCAGAAAGATTAAAGTTATAAATATAAATATAAATATATATAAATATATAAATATATATATATATATATACACACACACACGTATATTTTAGACATAGGGGGTGCTGCACTATCTTCCACAGGCTGGTCTCAAACTCCTGGCTTCAAGCAATCCTCCTGCCTCAGCCCACTCACTGAGTAGCTAGGACTGCAGGCAGCACCAGCATGCCTGGATAATTTTTAATTTTTTGGTAGCGACAGGGGTCTCGCTTTGTTGGCCAGGCTGGTCTTGAACTCCTGGCCTCAAGTTATTATTTGCTACTCAGCTTCCCAAAGTGGTGGGGTTTCAGGCATGAACGCCAGCGCCCAGCCTACTATTTTAGCAAAGAGAAAACTTTGGAGCAGCAAACAAGCCAGTCTCCTGACTCCACAGCCTCCCATAGTGAGCAGTCACAGGGTTACTTGACCTATTACATTAGCTGCCGGTGTAGCTAACTGCAGAAACTGTTCTATCAGGAGATGGAAGCTTTGGAGCTTTGTGTACTCAGCCAGGGCACACAAGGATGCTCAGGCTGGCGGCTCTCTCAGCAATAAACTGTCCAACATTCCCTCCAAAAAGTCCTTCACGATTAAGCCTGCCTTCTACTATGTATGAGTTTCATGTCGGAAACGCTCCACTATAGATATGGGAATATAACCAATGCTTGTGACTTAGCTAATCTGATTAGTGAGGGATGACTTATCTTCCTTGTGTTACTTTCCATTTCTCTTAAGGTTGACTACTTTACAAATATTTATTGATAATTTGTGATACTGTTCTTTAAAAACCTAACTCCACCCCGGGGATTTCTCTTTCCATGTTCCTGACTCAGGGGAAACAAATAAAGGAAGAGCTCCATTTATCATCGCTGCTGGCTGCGGTTCCCGCCTGCGTACTGTCTCCTCTGCCATTTCCCCTTCAGCTTGTGCTGTGTGGACGCACAAGGCAATGTGTGATGCCCCTTCCTCTTGATCTGTTCCGGGCTCCAAGAAGGCCGGGAGTCGGGGCACGAGGGCATTTCCTTTTTCTGATCCACAAGCCAAGTGAGGAGCACACAGTGGAGGAGTTAGAGGTGTCCTTCGTGGCGCAGATGAACGCATCTGTTGTTCTCTTTCACTGCTGTCGCAGAGTCCTGCGCCCAGGTCGCACCTGACTGCCGGCGTCTTTCAGAGACGAAACAGCAAAGGGGACATTCTCTGACCGTTTCTCTAGGGTGCTTTAGCGCTCCAGCCCCGTGCCAGCCTGGCCGCGTCCCCTCTGGTAGACACGGACTTCACGGTGCATGCCGACTCACAAGCGCGTGGTCTTCCCGCTTTCCCTCGACGGGCCCCGGCGCTGGTCCTGCCCCTGCCCCCGAGGGGCGGCGCGGGGCGTCTCGGGGTGTCTCGGGCCCGCGGCGCGCACCCCCGGGGCCCAGCGGCCCTCCCCGCCCTCCCCGCCCGCGCGCGCAGCCAATGGGCGCGGGACCCGCCCTCCCCGGAGCCCCGAGCTCCGAGCTCTGCCTGCGCCTGGTCCCAGCACCCGCGGCGCCGCGTCCCCGGCCCAGTCATGGCGTCCTCCGCGGCCGGCTGCGTGGTGATCGTTGGCAGGTAAAGGGCTCTGAGCCGCGCTGCTGCCCCTGGAGCCCAGGGAGACGCCGGGGACGCGGTGCCTGCGCTTGGGGCGCTCGGGGTGGGCGCCGGGTCGCTGTCACCGCGCCGGCCTCTGGCCCCCCGAGGCCCTGCGCCCTGGGGCCCCCACGGTGCTGGCTGGCTCGGGGAGGGCTCGGCAGGTGGAGGCCCCCTGCGGAGTTGGGTTTGCTTCGCGGGAGCCGGCGTTGCAGGAGGTTCCGAGGCTGACCGCGCAGGCCTTGGGGCCCGCGGTTCCCTGACTGTTGAATGTCGCCGCGTCCGCCCGCAGGTTCACACAGACGTCGGGCACCGTGTTGAACCAAATGAATTCCGGCTGCGATTCTGCGACGACTGTGTTCTCACCCCCGTTTTACGAATGAGAATACTGAGGCTAAGCGGTTTACCCAAGGTCACAGGGTTTAGTGACAGAGACCGGACTAGCCCAGCAGGGAGGGTGCCGGCGCAGTCCTTGTGGCGACGATGTCGCCGAGGCCACCGCAGGTGTTAGGCGAACGTACATGGAGTCCTAACTCCTGGGCAAGGCGATGTTTCCAGAGTGGGGGGCGATGGAGCTCAGAGAGTTTGCTAAATGTATCCATTTAACAGCCTAAATTCTGCCCAAATTGATTTCTGGTGTGTGCTCTCCCAGGCCCCTACCATGTTTACAATCCTTGCTATTTTTATATTTTAAAAAGGGGCATTTTTGTGTACCTTTCTTTGGCTAGCTGTTAGCAGCAATCTATAAACATGTTAATACTTGCTACTGATAGTTAAAACACCTTTTTGTGACTGCTGTTGAGGTGCTGGCCTTCCCTCTCCTCCTCCCCGCATCAGTGTACAACCCGGTGTGGCGACCACTTCCAATGTCAGGGCGTTTCCTTCCCATTGAAGGAGGGCATCAGATTGCTTATTGTCAGCTTTCTTTTCTCCAGAGCAGTGGAGTTAAGGGTGCCTTTGTTCTTTCTGGCCCATGGGTGCCCGTGGTTGAATAGTGAAGACATATTAAAAAGTGCACTTTGTACTGGTTATGGTAGTTACCTCTGTCTTGCATTTTATTCATAGTTATCAGAATGTATACATACATACAGTTTTCTACACACATGGGCGTTCACACACACACACACACACACACACACACACACACACGCACGCACACATTTTAATAGGACAGGGTCTCGCTCTGTAGCCCAGGCAGGAGTGCAGTGGCACCATCATGGTGGAACTCAACCTCCTGGGCTCAAGCCATCCTCCTACCTCAGCCTCCCAAGTAGCTGGGACTATGGGCTCGTGCCACCACGCCCGGCTGATTTTTAAAAATTTTAGGTAGAGATGGGGTCTCACCATCTTGCCCTGGTTAGTCTCGAACTCCTGGGTTCAAGTGCCTAGGCCTCCCAAAGTGTTGAGATTACAGGGGTGAGCCACCTTTCCTGGCCTTGCATAGCTCCATCATGCCTTGGAGTAGTGTTATGCATGCACTTAATAAATGTGAAGTTAATTTTTAGTTGATTATATATAATTATATAATATACAATTTTTTATTTTATTTTCTAGTAGAATGTAAGTAAGCCATATTATATAACTTTTTATTGGTCTCGATGTGGGTGGCTCAGTCTACTGAGGAGGAGATGCAGTTGACATCTCCTCTGATTCCTTGAGGGATGGGGATAAGGAATTAGAGAAAGGTTGGCTAACTTTAAGGACCACATAATCCCCTGGGGCCTCTGCTTGTTTCTTTGTTTTCTGGTGTGAAAGTCCTGTCTTTCCCCCACCCTCAGCACCTTAGCACACACCCAGCTCTGCCTCTGGGACAGTGCTGGTTTCTTCCCTTCCTCCTTACCACCCTTCTTTCTCTTCCCTCAATTTCTTTCCTGGCCCCTGATTCCAAGGAACACCCACTTAACAAGTAGGAGGCCTAGGAGGGCGGACCAGCGGAGGTCAGGGGTTTGAGGCCAGCCTGGACAACATGGCAAAACCTTGTCTCTACTAAATACACAAAAATTAGCTGGGCATGGTGGCGCATGCCTGTCATCCCAACTACTCGGGAGGCTGAGGCAGGAGAATTGCTTGAACTCAGGAGGCAGAGGTTGCAGTGAGCTGAGATAGTGCCACTGCACTCCAGCCTGGGGACAGAGTGAGACTCCGTCAAAAAAAAAAAAAAAGAAAAAAGAAAAAGAAAGAAAAAAATGTAAGAGTAGAAATGGGTATCATGAAGATAAATTTGCATTGGAGTAGTGTTCTCAGGCTTTCATTTTGTTAGCCTTACCTCTATAAAACACTGTGTTTCTAAATTGCTAAAATATGAGTTCTGTATTTGTATACAAAATTCAGATTGCAGGCCTTGAGCTTGTTTAGAATAGGGACACAAAATGTTCCTGGTGCAGGACATGCCCTTTGTCCTGTCCTGCTTTTCAGGGGCACACTCCTTCAGTATCAAGCTCAGGGACTGTCTCCTCCAGGAAAAGTTCTGCCTCTGGGACTTTCCCCTAAGGGTAGAAACTGTATTGTCACCATTTGTATATCCACCATGCCTGGCCCCAGTAGAGAAATATTTGAGCATTTGTAACAGAGACTGCTTATTTTTTAACTGATGTGCGGTGTGAAGGGCTTGATAGGACATTTTTTATATCAAGAAAAACATCCCATAAACTAGAAAGGCAAGAAAGAAAGGCATCCTATAAACTAGAGTCTTCTTCATTTTTTTTTTATTCCAAAATTTTGTTTGGGGTGATTGTACATTTTATTTCTTTTGAGACAGGGTCTCCCTCTGTCATCCAGGCTGAAGTACAGTGGCACCATCTCAACTCACTGCGACCTCCGCCTTCTGGATTCAAGCAATTCTCCTGCCTCAGCCTCCCAAGTAGCTTGGGACTACAGGCACGTGCCACCATGCCTGGCTAATTTTCGTATTTTTAGTAGAGACAGGGTTTCTCCGTTTAGGCCAGTCTTGAACTCCTGGCCTCAAGTGATCCACCCACCCTGGCCTCCCAAAGTGCTGAGATTGCAGGCCTGAGCCACTATATCCAGCCTGTGCATTTTTTATAAGAAACTTTCTGAGGCATGAATTTTCTTTGAAGCGCTATTCTAGGTATTTTCCTGCTAATTTTTGCACACGTACACAGCAAACCCTAGGATGCCTCCCTTGCCTTTTGAGTCAGCTTAGACACTAAATGTCCCCTTTGTAGGAGTTACATAACAGCTTTTTCTGGCAAAATTTCCATAGTAGACTTAGAGCATGAGTGTAGGAACAGTTTTACTTCAGTTTTTACCCAGTAAATAAGTAACTGTAGCTGGAAAGATACTTTCAAATGTATCTAAAGTGAATTTATTCAAAATTAAGTGACCTTAATGATAAAATTAGAATTGAAGCAATTGTATCACTTTTCTTGCCTGCTGCTTTGCTGCTGTATGATAGAATAAATGTTCATCTGCGTTTGCCTTTTGTATAGCCATTAATATTCATGAATTCCGAAGCTTTAAGACATACCACAATAGTCAGAGTGGGAAGGGCATTGAATTACCTCTATCGCTGGCTCCCATTTTATGGTCTCCAGGTGTAGAGCAGTTCAAAGGAAGGCCAATAAGATGTCACATGATCTTGGGACAGGAAGTTCATTATTCTTGGGCCTGATGTAAAGTAGTGTTGGGAAACAATACTAGGGGAAACCTGAAGCAGAAACCTGAAGGAAACCACGGCAGGGAACTTCCCAGCCCTGGGGCCGGGAGTTCTGGTCCCTGTGCTGCCTGCAACTTCGTTTGCTCTGTAGATTCCCTCTCCTTGGACTCGCTCACTTTTCTTTTCTCCCTTGTGACTTTATCTTGCACATCACTGCCAACCCTAAGGTTACACTGTTTCAGTATAGTGCCTGTTACGGACTGTTAGTTTCTATATTTTAGGTCCAATTTTCAGGAGAGGAAACCCAATGGCCTCAGCTCTGTGCATCCCAGCCTGCAGATGTCATAGGGTGCTCCTAGGCCAGCTGATTGGCTTCTTCATGTCAGGTGTCCAATCCATGTCCGATCAGCAGTGACTGAGTGTGTGGGCATGGAGGGGTAGGGAAAGTACACCAGCTGTTCGCCTGGAGTCAGCCTCTGTGGTTGGGCCTCTGCAATGAAGGGGGCAATCTCAAGATTGAAAGGGAAATGAGGCCCAGTCCAACCACCTGATATTGATGGCAGAATCCCTGCTGACGGTTATCCTCCCTCAGGTCAGATACTGCGGTTCCAAAGACTTGCTGCCTGTTTGATTATGGGGGCTGCCTTTCCTTGAGCAACAGCAGCATTAGGGTAAGACCCAAGACATGGAAGCAGGTGCGTTAGCCTCAGACTGAAGCGCCACGCTCCCTCTAGCATGATTGCTTCCCCTCTGGAGGGTTCAGACGCTGCAGTGAGCAAACACACAGTTGTTCCCTGCAAACAGAAAAGCACCCTCTCTTGACCCCATTTTTCCCTCTGGTAATTGCCACATTCCTCCTCAAAACTTAATAAAATTATCCATATTGTCTCCAGTTTCTTTCTTCCTATGCATATTCTCTCTCTTAACTTTGTACTATGGAAACATTTCAAAGTGTGTTAAAGTTGAGAGAACAGTACAATGAACCCTCCGGCGCCTTCCCCCACCCCTCAACTTCAACAATTATTAACACATGGCTAATCTAGTTTCAGTTACTCTCCCTTCTCTGGACTGTTCGGCATAGAGTCATTTCATCTGTAACTATGTCAGCATGTAGAGTATCTAAAAGATATGGACTTTTAACAATATATATAACCACAATAGCATATCATGTGTAACACATTAACACAATTCCTTAATATCTTCATGTAATATCTTTAAATATCTCTTCCATATTCAAGAGTTCCCTGATTCATTTTTTAAATACTTGGTTTGATTTATTTAGGGTCTAAATAAGGCCCACATGTTATATTTAATCAATAAGATTTCTTAACTCTTTCAATCTATAGATTCTCCATCCCTCTCTGGT